ATAATACTAAATGATAAAATTATTAAAATATTATTAAAACACGTCATATAAGCGGGCGTCATACAAAGCAGTCTTAAAAATTAGCAACTTTTTATTTTAGTTATTTAGTTTAACAGACAGAAAAACTACAATTTGTATATATTTAACAGAAAAAAGAAAAAAGGATGAATTGTAATATCAATACACATAAGAAAAATGAGCGAAAATATTATTAATCATTTGGGTCACTATAGCCGGATATGATTTCTTGAGAATCAGTCATAATAAACGATGTCATTTTAAACGGAATCATTATATCCAAACTTTCCTATAGAGAATTTAATATGAAAACTAAACTTAACACTGCAATTACTTCATGTTAAGCGGTTGGTCAATATAGGCGGAGTCATAATAAATGAAGTCCACTGTAATTAAATTAAATTAGAGCTTGTTAATATTATTTTAATCATTGCTCTCAATTAACAACAATGGCATTGAGTATTTTATATTCGATTCTAACTTTACTTGCAATCAATCAAAAGGTTTTTAATTTAAGGAAAATATGTAAAAGTATTAGGTCTGCTGTTGTCTGAAATTCTTTCTTAAAAACCATTCAATAATGAATATTCTAGAATATGATTTGACATTTTCTGCTGCGGTTCCATTAACTTTTAAAAAGCATTCTTGTATATAAGTACTGCACACTTGAGTGATGGCATGTAACAGCAGATGTTACGTCAAAGCCGTCTAAGGTTGGAAGCAAGGAAAAAAGAGGCACGGGATTGTTTCTCGAAATGCCTCGAGCAGAACGTTAAATTGCTCGCCATCGATGGCTTTTTTTTCTGTGTTTAGACGTCACTGGGCACCACACAGACACGCCACAATCTACAAACCTCAAACGAAACGCAATTACTAACGAAGATTTTTTTCAACTTCAACTTGAAGGATGGAGAAATTAATTTTGCACGAAACAATTTACTTGTTATCGTCGTCCTCTGTCTAGGTTACATTGTTGGGTTAATTGAAAATGGGAAGCTTTAGTTTAAAAGGAACTAACGGAAGCGATAAAAAAATAATTGAAATGCCTTTTTTAATAAAGTGGCATCTACTTCACAGAGTAGGGGGTTTCGAAAAGGAATTTCTGGAAATTGTATAGGTATGCAGTCACTTTAAACAATTCTATTATGAAATAAATGGGGTGGTAAAGGTTAAGAGTTAAGGCCACTAAAAGAAAAACAGTTGAACTGAAGGAGCGAACTGTTCAAAAGAAGAAGGAAAGTGGGGACTGTGGTAGCAGAAATCAAGGAATTCTTGACTGATGTAGAGGGGAAATACACAGAAACGGATTTGAAAAGACTTATGTGTCTTAAGACATTTACTTAAAGTAATATTAAGAAAAAAGAGACGGCTACCAGTGATGAACAAAATTGTAGGGGATCACCGTTGTTACCAGCCTTTTACTGTGAGACAAATAACACAGGTCTGCGATAAAAAAGTTTTTTGTATAAATTTATCTTAAGCATGTAAAAGTTGGTCTATATTTTGCAAATATAAACTTTGTTTTAACGTATCACGTCACATTTTTTTTTTTATATGTAGATTAATATATGTATATGTATACATACAGCTCTTTGAATCAGCAAATTTATTTGTTTTTTTACAAAATTCATTTTATAGCGTATAGTTCTATTTTATACTCTCTGACTGAGTATTATATTGTCTTTTACTTTATTGTAGATAGTTTGAAAGTAAGTAATAGTAGTTTACACCGCCTGAAAAAAAAAAATAATTTCTAGCGCGCCATTATTGACAGACATATAATATTAACGTGTAATTAAAAGATTGTGTCCTATTTATCTTTAACTATGGCTTCTCGGAGTTGTAAAAACAGTTCAAATGCATTTTTTTACATTTGCGGACAATATACAATAGTTAAGCAAAGATTGAATATAACAGACTTTGTAAAAAATCCTTATTAAGCTTACTTCAGAATGAAGTTGTGTCACCAAGATAAACACTGGGTTACGATAAAATATGCCGGTTATGTGTTGAAGTGTTAAGACAGTGGACTTACGGTAAATCAAAATCATTGTTATTCGGTATTTCTGTCCAAATTAGAATGCAATTGGAAGCCGAAGTGAAAAATGTCATCAATATGAGTTTGAAAGAAGAAAGTATTGCTTCCACCACTTTACATTAAACATGGTTTGATCAAACAGTTTGTAAAAGCATTTTGACTTGACCAACGGTGATTATTTCATGTTTAGATATCGAGGTCATGATTTATATAGGTTTTAAGCATATAAAAAAATCGTAAGGACACAAAAAATTACTTTTTAAAAAAAGTCAATTCAAAAATCAGCTTTTTTTTATTTTCGATCTTTCCATGCTTTAATATTGTCGGAGGTATTTTTAACCAACACCATCGAAAACAGCATCCTTAAAAACATAGAAACACTGGTTATTGAATATTTTTTCGTCGCACTCATTACGTGACAAGGGTTCAAATGGAAATGTGTTCTCTGAGTATTTATGGGTTAATGTGACGTGATAAAAACCATATGAATATCGCTTTCTATTACTTTTAAGACAATTACGACAAATATTAACAATTTAAGAAAAAACTTTTCAAAAACAAATTTCGCAGACCTGTGTAATCTTAAACACCTAACAAATGAACATTGTCTTCTGTATATGATATCAAATTGGTCCATGGCAAAAAGAAGCTGTGTTTAATTAAAAATCTGTTCCATGAAATTTACGTTGTACGCCTTTTTTTTTTACGAATGTCATACATAGTACTGCGTATTTTCTCGTTTATTCTTCGGAATTGTTCAGAGTTATTTAGATTGCAACGTGACTTGTCAGTGAAGTGCTTATTTCCATTCATGGGATGTCAGAAGAAGGAAATAATAACTAGGTCAGGAAATTCTGTAACGTCCCGAATATACGACATATTTGATCTCAAGCGGTTTCCACTTGTTTTACGCTAACGGCAAAATCAACGCTGCGAACTGTTTAACATTTCAGTTAAGCAACTCTAAAATGTCAAGCACGAGCAAAATACATGTACACACATTGATAAACGTACATATATGCATAAATAGAAGTATATACAAGCGTGTGCTTATGAAATTTGGTTCGTGAAATAATTCGAAAGATATACTCTTCGAAACGTAGTGCGAAAAGG